AGCGCTGGGCTGCGAAGATGCCTGCAGCCTCTGCAGAGCCGGTTCAATGCCCGGCCACCGGGCGAGGGTCCCACATGGCTCGTAGACCTCTCCTGCCGTGTTTGCTTCTCCCCACAGCAGTGTATTTCGTCACTCTGCCTGTTCTGTTCCCCGCTCTGGCTCTGGTGAATTCTCTCACCCTCCCGCGCTTCTGACTGTACCCAGTTCTGTATAAATAAATAAATAAATAAATAAATCTTTAAAAAAATTATTAGAAGGAGATCTGCTGTGGTAATAAGTTCCAAAGAGGAAGCAGAGTTAAAGACAATTTTTTAGCTGTAGGACATCTATTAGACAATCAGTCTTCTAAATTCAAAACCATATTGTACTTCCTTGTTCATCTTTGTCCCAGGTGGACGTAAGAGCTGATGAGGGACTGATGGAAACCAATTCCCCTGGTGTTACTTATAGTACAAAACACTCATCTGTCACTATCTGAGGCATCCAGATATTTTCAACTCTATGGCTTTCATGTATATTACCATGGATTATCCCTGGTAAGTCCCTGGGCTTGAGATTCTGCACTGAATGGGAGGAAATGGAGGACTGGTTTCAAAGAGAACACAATCCCATGTGATGGGATAAGATGCAAGGATGGTTGTGAAAAGGTACAATAGAAATTCACAGTAGGTGAATCATCAGACACTAGGAAGCTTTTCTCTTATGCTTTTCAGAATAGTTCTAAATTAGTTAATGGCAAACTGGGTGACAAATTTTAAAGTGAGGTTGGTACATATTAGGACTTCTTATAGATAGTAAGTGAGTAGAAAACTTATTTCTTAAAAGGTCAGGAAATTTCACATATTTAGATAGAAAGATGCAGGGAAAATGATGCCCTATAAATCACTCTGGGGAAATGCTCTATTCGGTGGAAATATTCATCAAATAACTAAACTTACTCATGGGCAGGAAAAGATACACTTCCATGGATTAATAGTTGGCATTTACTGACAGAAAAATAGGCTTTATGTTTCTAAGTATTGTAAATGGATTACGTTGTTTATTCTCACTGTGTCGATTATTACTGTAATGTGTTTCTATCCATTAACATTATATTAGCAATAAAGAAATGAAAACAATTGACGTTTTATACCTGGCAAACAAAGCTGTTAGTGGCATCCAGGATTTAAACTCTCTCGATAACTTCAGATTCTATGCATTAATTGCCATGATTTATGACTGATGTGTATCTTTGGAAGGTAGTTGGAATTTCATGAAAAATTTAGAAGCAGTCACTTGGAGGCTCTCTATAAAGACTTAACTGACGTTTGGCGCTGTTCTGAAATGTGGTAAACATTCTCAGAAAACACAAAGCTCCCCGACAAAGGAGAACATAAGACAGAAATCAGTGGGCAAACGTCACAGACTCCAAGGAGGTAAAAGATTCCTGATACAGTAGAGCATTGGATTTGCACTCTTAAATCCCTTTAATCCATTACAAGATTATGAGAATCAGCTTGAGTCAGAATTGGAGCTCTAAGTGACAATAATGGTGCAGGGCTTAGGCTATGCAGAATATGCAAGTTTACCTTGGCGTATGAATGTCAAAGGTTAAAGATGTTTTTCCTCCCCCTTCTAAATGTATGCATATCTATATATACAAAACAGCCTCTGATCTTGTCTCCTAGTTCCAGCTTTCAGGAACTCTCATCTGTTAAGTTTCTGTAACTCCTATCCTCAAACACGTTTGCCCTCATTTTTTTCCACTTTTCCCTACAGCAAAGTCAGTGAGTCTCACAGATTTTGCTGCCTTTTTATTATTCTCATATGTCACATCTTTACTATCCCATGTGGGTTATCACATATCCCTCCAACATGAATTCTTTCATGTACATTTTATCACTTCAGGCCCTACATCAAGCTGCTAATAGATTGTATTTTAAAAAGGAAATACATTTCCCACTTAAAATGTCCCAAATTAATATTTCTGGTAAAAGCAGTAGCATATATGTTTGAGCCAAATCAAAAGAACAGGCAAGTTAAACATGATATGATGTTGCAACAGTCTTTTAGATTCATAGCACCTAATAAACATGTGCTGTAATTTATAATTTATGTATTATACCTATTTGGTGAAGTAAGAAGTTAACAGAGCAGTTGTTTCTATCAGAATCTGAAAAAGCACACTGACTGAAATCTCTATTAGATGTTATATTAAACCCAGTCTCATTTACTTTTACATTAACATATGTCTCATACTTTCAATGGAATTATAAAATCTCAGAGAACACAATTACCTTTTCTTTGGATCAATATTAAATTTAGATCCAAGTAGATTTAATTGTAAAGATAATATCTTAGCTTTTCTTTAATATAATAGAGTAACATGCCAATATCATAAATAAGGAAAGAAAAATAATCTAAATGTTTAAAAATCTTAAAATGTTAAATGCTACAACAGCTATTTAATCAATGGTGTATGCTGCTTTATAAAGTCCAAGCACTTAACACAATGTTGATATTCACTACTATAGGATAAATAATTATATCTTCATTCTAACATTACTTCAAGCAGCCTTTGAAACTTAGTGGAAATTTAATTAATGTGCTTTAAAATAAAATCATTAGGAAATAAACATCGAATTTGTGTATATTAATGTAACCTTCAGATTTGAAGATCCTCATTAAGGGATGAGACTTTTGATTCCTCATTAAGGGATCTCAGAAGGGAAAGCCTTGCTTGAGTAAAATGTTTTAAGAAATATATATAAATGCTATTGCTTTTTGACCTAGATGCATTGTATCTACCTTTTCATAGAAGCACAAAAGGATACAAATATATTTATCTTGGCTTATGAATTTTGAAGGTTAAAGATATCTTTCCTTTCTCTTCTAAATGTATGCAAGCCTATATACAAAAAATCAAGTTTCTTAGCGGAAAATAGTGAAGCAGGATGGAGCAAATGTGATGATTTTTTTTGCCCCTAATCTGTTGTTTTAGGCCATCCTCACTGTCTTTATAATTTTTATACTAATTATTTCTAGAAAATGAGTTGTACAACTAATGAAAGAAAATAGCTATGATTTGTACATTAATATTTTACATATACTGAAGTGGAAGTATTTTTTGTAAAAAGAGATCAATACAGAGCCTCCCTGGTGGCACAAGGGGTTAAGCACTGCACTATGAAGCTGTCCGCAGCCTCTGCAGCACGAGTTCAATCCCCGGCCAGGGAGCTACCCACATGATGCAGCAGACCTCTCCTGCCTAGCCCGCTGCTGCCCTCAGCAGTGTATTTCAGTCAGTCTGCCTGTTCTGCTCCCCACCCTGCCTCTGGTGACTCCTCTCACCCCTCAAAAAACCTCTGGCCTTGGCCTCCCTGGTAGTGCAGGCAGTTGAGCTCAGCACTGTGAAACTGTCCGTAGCATCTGCAGCACTGGTTCAATCCCTGCCAGCCTCGGAGTGACCCACATGGCCGGCAGACCTCTCCTGAATTGCCCGCTGCTCCCCTCAGCAGTGTATTTTATCAGTCTGCCTGTTCTGTTCCCCGCTCTGTCTCTGGTGAATCCTCTCATCCTCCTGTGCATCTGGCCTGTACCCTGGCTCTTGTATAAAAATAAAATAAATCTTAAAAAAAAAAAAAACAAAAAACCTCTGGCCTGTACCCCAGCTCTTGTACACATAAATAAATAAATCTTTTTTTTCTTTTTTTTTAAAAAGATTTATTTATTTATTTATACAAGCACTGGGTACAGTCAGAAGCGTGAGAGGGTGAGAGAATTCACCAGAGTCAGAGCAGGGAACAGAACAGGCAGGGACCGACAAACTACACTGCTGAGGGGAGCAGCAGGCACACCGGGAGAGGTCTGCATGCCATGTGGGAGCAAGCAGACCAGCCCCAAAAGTTATAGGAAGTGAGAAGAAATCCTCTTATACAAGGTTATGGAAGCATACCATTTTAAGTATGAAATAACCAGTGATAGACAATGATGTGGATAGAATGTTAAGTCCTATGAAGGTGTAGAAGAATAATTTCACTTGTAAAAGAATCATATTTTGAGTGAATAGGAGATACATAAGATGTGAGTAGAGAAAACATTTCCTTCATAGAGACTTCAGTGCTTTTATACAGTTAATAACATATTTTGGAAGTATAATAATGATTATTGATGGGAAGTTTGGAAGAATAATAATGATTATTGATGGGAGAGAGAAGCACAGAAAACATAGACTGGCACTTGAAATTAAAAACAAGGCATGGCCCACAGTGGGGCATATCGAGAACAAGCTCTGAAAGGTACTACTAAGGGAAACACCTGTGAATTCAAAAGCAATTGATGCATTTTCATACAGAATAAGTAAGAAATGGTGCAAGATACACGGTTGGGTTTTAGGAGCACAGTGTAAGCTTTGAAAATGGATAAAAGAATTCTGATCATCTACTGAATGGGGAACAAATTCTGAAGAAACTAATCTATGAAAACAAGTTGGTGAGTTACAAAACTGAAAATTGTTCTAGTAAAACTTGACATGATTTTGATCATGTAAAATAATCTGCCACCACCGTGGGAAGTCTAGTTTGAAATATCTTTACTCTGCATCAAATGATTCCCTCACCCCGGCCCTGCCATTCCAACAGACATGTTACAAAAAAGGCAAAGATAGATGATGATTAGCAAAGACAAATTGGTCCTAGCATTCTTGGGCCAGGAATAATCATCTAATTCATTTGACTTATCAAAAATAATTAAGCCTCACTTAATGATTAAGGTAGTACACATATTTCAGCAGAAATATAGGACCTGAAAATTGATCTTTCAACATTTTTTGGAAAATGGATATAAAATTAGAGAGGAGTAGATAAGTTGGGAATGATAAAAATACAATCTGCTAATCTAAATAGAGCACTGGTGTTACTGTGCTAAAATAAATTTCTTCTTATTTTTCATTCATGAAGCCTTGACTGATAATAGAAGATGAAACAACAATACCACTCCTTGATTCTACAGACGGAATCACCATGCACATATTGAACGGCTCCATCTTCATGCCTTCTGTACTAACGCTCATTGGAATTCCTGGCCTGGAGTCAGTGCAGTGCTGGATTGGGATTCCATTCTGTGCCATGTACCTCATTGCTGTGATCGGGAATTCCCTAATTTTAGCTATAATCAGATATGAAAACAGCCTTCATAAACCCATGTACATCTTTTTAGCCATGTTGGGGGTGACTGACATTGCACTTAGCACCTGTATTCTTCCCAAAATGTTAGGTATCTTTTGGTTTCATTTGCCAGAAATTTCTTTTGATGGCTGCCTTCTGCAAATGTGGCTTATTCACTCATTCCAGGCAATTGAATCAGGTGTCCTACTGGCAATGGCTTTAGATCGCTACGTCGCCATCTGTGACCCCTTGAGACATGCCACTGTGTTCTCCCAAAAACTCTTGACTCATATTGGCGTTGGGGTGACACTCAGGGGTGCTATTCTTGTAGCTCCAAGCTTAGTGCTTATCAAATGTCGTCTTAAGCTCTACCGATCTACAGTCATCTCGCACTCTTACTGTGAACATATGGCCATTGTGAAGCTATCTATTGAAGATATCCGGATCAACAAGATATATGGTCTATTTGTTGCCTTCGCCATCTTGGGGTTTGACATAATCTTTATCACCTTGTCCTATGTTCAAATCTTTATCGCCGTGTTTCGATTGCCCCAGAAGGAGGCACGATTCAAGGCTTTTAACACATGCATTGCCCACATTTGTGTCTTCCTGCAGTTCTACCTGCTTGCCTTTTTCTCCTTCTTCACACACAGGTTTGGTTCTCACATACCACCATATGTTCACATCCTCTTATCAAACCTTTACCTGTTAGTGCCACCTTTTCTCAATCCTATAGTCTATGGCGTGAAGACCAAACAAATTCGCGACCATATCCTTAAAATGTTTTTCTCCAAAAAAAAAAATTTGACCATCATAGGCAGATAGATTTGGTTGGTTTAGAGCAGCAACCTGAATGTGTCAAGGTTATATTTTCCACAAATATCTACATCTGAAAAAATTTAAACTTTACATGTTTATTTTTAATGTGTAACAAATTATCAAACACTTAAGAATCTTGGTTTGTTATTCACATCAGAGCAAAACTCTAATGCTGAGACTTCAGATTGTTTCAGTTACAATCTGTTTGGTCTTTTCAAACATACAATTGTTTGGTCTTTTTGGTCTTTTCAAACATACAATTTCCACTCTGGTTACACTTAGCTACATAGAAAACAAAACTGCAGGAATAACACTTGATTCCAGCTAACTTCCAAACAGCATGTCACATATCAATATTCTCAACCTGTTACTTCAACCATTGCTATAATTTTGACTGTCTATAATTTTGACTAGCTATGATTTTCTCATAATGCTTATAAGTCTGTATTCTGACAAATTTGAAATTACTTATCTAATTTTATCTACTTTCTCTGAAATACTAAAGACTGTAAAAATAATGTAAACTTAGTAATACAAACATTAGCACCAGAAAAAGTATATAATGCAATCCAGAGTCTATAAATCCTGAGGAATTTACACAGGAGATAACACATAATGATTGGTAGAAAAACTAGGTATATTCACAGAAGCACCTTTTTTATTTTCAAATGACACACTGTTCTGGAGTTAGACAACATCCTCCCAGAGTCACAAATTTTTGTAATTTAACCCAAATTTGGAAATTTATGTTTAAGATTGACATACAGATAGATTTCATTGCATTTTAAAATTATCTACTGAAACTCTCTTGAGTACCCAGACCATGTCTTATTTGTACTTGTATCAACAATATATAGGGCTGTGTCTGAGAATTTTTAGAACATTGAATGACATTGAAATAGGAACAATTTAAACATTTTCATCCTATTGGTTAATTGTATTCAAAGGTAACAAGGAGACTTTTAGGTAATATGTATACCTCAAGTGAAACATCCATACTCTTGAGTTTATTCCAGTATAATTCAAGCAAACAAAAATGGCAATTTGAGTAAATTATTATGTAATACTGAAATAAAGTATGTGCAAACATATGGCTGGAGTATGAGAAACTGACTCCTAATCCAGGGACCTCAGATCTCTCTTTACTCTTTGCTGTTTCCCTGCACACAGACCTTCAACTTTTCCCAGGTAGCTGCATCAAGTTTAGGAACATCAGGTTTAAAGTTTCTTCAATCACACAGGTGGAGATCATCTCGAGAGACTCAGGTCAAGGTCTTTGGACAGGGTTATGTAAAGCATGCTGGGTGAAACAACAGAATACCCTCATGGCCTTTTATTTATTTAATCATTTGTTTTCACTGGGCCACATTTCAGATACCAATAAAATTTGTCATTTCAAAGTATACAAGTCACCATTTTATAGTACATTGTAAAGGTTGTGCGACTAATACTGCTATCAAATTCCAGAATATTTTCATCATCCTAAATAGAAACCCATGCCCATGAATAGTAACTCCCCATTACCTTCATCCCTCTACTCCAGTCTTGGCCATCACCAATGCACTTTCTGTCTCTATGGACTTACCTTCTGGAAGTTTTATATAAATAAAATATGCAGTATGAGATATTTTCTGTCTGTTTTATTATATTTTCAAGTTTCATCCATGGACCACATATCAGTATTGCATTCCCTTAATTGACTATAGTCCACTGTACAGACATACCACATTTTGTTTATCTGTTTATCAGTTGTTGGGAATTTGTCTTTTTCTCCTTCCAGGTTATTATTACCAATGATTAAAAAAAGCATTAAAGGTCAAGAGGATGTCAAATTATACATCCTAAAGTACAAACACAAGTACAGTCAGTGAATATAGACTCTAGAAAATACTCAAAATCATAAAAGTTAAAGAGTATGAACATATATTTGATAGAATTGTAATTCTAGGCTTGCTACAATTCAAGAACTGTCATGATAAATTGGAGAATCTGCTTTGGAAGACTGAGAGGATAAAGACACTTAGCAGCTTGTTACTGAAGAAGTTGCTACTGATATTAGTTACTGAAAAGTGCAGATGTTTTACTTCGAAGGAAAGAGGACCATGAATAACTTGAAGTTTTGTGCTATTATAGCTGAAGACACATAGTTTTCAAAGGGGGCAGTGATTGCAGGGAATGTGTTAGTTAAATATAAAGAGGTCTGTCTGAAAGTCAGAGTTTACAGTGCTTCAGGGATCAATATATATATATAGAGAGAGAGCTGTCAGGAAGCTATAGAAAGAATTATGTTTTGGGGAAGTAATTTGGTGGCATAATCTCTAAAACATTACACATATAGCATTTATTAATAGAAATCAGATTGTTGGGGAGTCTGTAAAAAATTTGACAATATTTGGAGGTGATGATTTGTGGAAAGATGTTCTGGAATACCTAGGATAACACTTAAAAACTTTATATATCAGCTAAATTGAAACATAGGCAGATTTCCCATAGGCAACCTTTCTACTCTAAATTGAAATAAAATATGTATAAATACATATTTTATTGCAATTTGTTTTGGGGTCTTCTCTCTCTTCTGCTGCCCCCTAAGGCATTTTCCCTTGAATATTCGGATGTATTTAGCAGTTGTTCTCATTGGAATATCTTGGATTTTTTTTAAAGGGATCCATCTGATTTCAGCTTTCACAGAGGATAAAAAAATTGGAACTGTCTACATCTCTTCAGCAATAAGTAGCCCTAATTTTTATCTAAGAGTTATCTCTGACAACAGTGCTTCCATACGGAAATCTAGGCTTTCAACGTCATCATTCACTGAACCACTTCAGCCTCTCCTTCCCTGCTCTCCTTGTAAAACACTCAAGGTCTCTCTTTCACACCAGGCACACTTCAACACTCTTAACTGTGCTAACTAATAGTTTCAAATTGTAGAAAAGTGATTGTGTGAGGTGCTGACCATGCTTATCCAATGAGAAGTTTATGCAATGAGACTTGTTTCCTACATCATACTTCCACAGCAATATGCAAAGTTCTGCAGCAGTCATTGTCTGTCTGGATGACATTTGGGTTCTGCAGCAATATCCTAGCTGAAAATTTCTTGATGAGTTCAGGATGAGGAAAGATATTGATTGGTAGAGTCATAAGCCTACAAAGAGGCCACCAATGGCTATTTTGTTAAAGGAGTATTGGAATGCTCTGTAGACATACCCAGCCCTGTTGGGCTAAAGTGAATGGAGGACAAGAAGAGGGAGAAAGTGCAGAGGGACAGAAAAGAGGGGTTAAAAGTCTAGCGAGTTTTATTGTTTCTCTGCATATATGATCTTCCAATTTTTTTTCTGTTTTCTATGAACAGTCTAGAAGAAATAAGCGAAGATGGGGAGGGCAAAGGAGAACCCCAGTCTCATATCACAGGGTGACCCCATCACAGGGGTGATATCCAGACACTCAGCTTCTGTACTGTGGCTGTCGCTGAGTGTGTGGGGGGAGGTGATTTTGCTAAAGTGTTTACTGGGGAACCTTTCCACAGGTCTTCATATTGGCATTTTCTCCTTCATTCAAAAAGTGATGAATAAGCTGATGAAGTTTACTCTCCTGTTTCTGTGATTCAGTAATTGGTGACTGACTAAAAATAAGCTAGATTTGGTACAGACAGTCACAGCTTGGCAGCTTGGCACTCTTTCTAAGACTCTTCTGAACTGCCTTGTTTACCACAAATGGCTCGATCTACCTGTCCTCTGTTCTGACCTTCATTGGGATCCCTGGCCTGGAGTCAGTGCAGTGCTGGATTGGGATTCCATTCTGCGTCATGTACCTCATTGCTTTGCTGGGAAATTCTCTACTTTTGACTATCATTAAATCTGAACCTAGCCTCCATGAGCCCATGTATATCTTCCTGGCCATGTTGGAGACCACAGACATTGTCCATAGCACCAGTATTGTCCCCAAGATGCTTGGGGTTTTTTGGTTCCACTTGCCAGAGGTCTATTTTGATGTTTGCCTTTTTCAGATGTGGCTCATCCACACATTTCAGGGTATTGAATCAGGAGTCCTACTGGCCATGACTCTGGACCATTACGTAGCAATTTGCTACCCTCTGAGGCATGCGACCATATTCACTCGACAGCTAGTCACTTATATTGGGACTGGGGTGACACTGCGGCCTGCCATTCTGGTAATCCCATGCCTGCTGCTCAAAAGTGTCATCTCAAACTCTTCCGAACCAAGCTGATATCCCACACTTACTGTGAACACATGGCGATTGTGAAGCTTGCCACTGAAGATGTTTACATCAGTAAGTTCTATGGTCTCCTTGGAGCATTTACTGTTGGTGGCTTTGACTTCATTTTGATCGCCCTCACCTATACAAAGATCTTCATCACAGTCTTCCACCTGCCCCAGAAAGAGGCACGCCTGAAGGCTTTTAATACATGTATTACCCACATATGTGTCTTCTTCCAGTTCTGTCTCCTTGCTTTTTTTTCCTTCTTTATTCACAGATCGGGATCTTATATCCCATCATATACACATATTACTTTGTCCAATCTTTACCTTCTGGCTCTACCATTCCTCAACCCCTTTGTCTATGGCATGAAGACAAAACTCATCTGAGATAAAGTGGTAAAAATGTTCTGTTTCAAAGACCAGGCTTGACATTTGGGGGAAAAATTTCCTCCTATGAATTTAATGATTCATTTATTGGATGTCTGTGGTTTGGAAATGCAGTCAATGGTTTGAATCTCATCATGTTTGATGAATAAATTTATAAATATACAAATGAGTGTGCTAAAAAATTCAGTCATCATCACCATCATCATAATCATATTCATTTTCATTTGTGAAAACTTTCATTACTCCTCATGCTTAAGTAGAAATATTGTTCCACTTCTTTTCATGTAGTTATTAATAAAAATAGTTAAAATACAAACTTAAGCATTTTTCATGATCCAATCTGTGATAATTTTTTGTTGACCTACGGTTTGTTAAGTATAGTGCTACTTATATCTGTATCAACATCCATATATTTATATGTATGTATATATTCAACTTTGGTAATGTGCAATCTTATCATTTATAACTTCACTCTTGTTTGTTTTCAGCTTATGATTGGAGTGTGTATATATATATATATATATATATATATATATATATACACCAATGATGAAATAAACATTTCTGTGTGCCTGTATAGATGCTTTTATAGTTGCACAAATATGTTATATATTTGTATATTTATAGAAATGAAATTATATATACACATGGAGTCTATTATCATGTTTGCTGCAGTTAATTTGTGTAAAGTCATTGTAAACACTGTATTAGTAAATTCTGAACCTTTTGTCCTCTGGAAAAATACATTATGTTCCTTTTAGACTTGGTCACATTTCATCAACCAATTAATATATAATCTTCATGTGCATCTCTCTGTTAAAAGACATTTTAATATGTATTAAAGCTGATAATATATAATTATTACAAATAATGAATTACATGCAGTATTTTATTATAATAAAACATTAACTGAGAAGGGTTTAACATTTTCCTGATCATGTATAATGTGTCTGTAAGTTTTTCTGGATTTTAGCCTATGGCTGTGCTGTCCAGTATAATCGATTGTCCACAGATTCAGCCATTTTTCCATTTTCCCCAAAGTTTTATCACACATGGCATATATTACTTTAGAGAGCAACCTCATACACAGATTGACAAACTTTCTGATCCTATTTCTGGATACATGGTATTTTTTATTCATTAACATAGAACTCACAAACAACATCACAACTCAGCCTTAAAGAAGTTTATACAACAATGCATTTTCTCTATAAGAAAAATTACAGTCTTGCATTTAGAAACATTAGAAAACTCCAGCACTATACTTGGGGCTATTGAATAAAAGGGAATTCCTCAATAAAAAAAATCACAAAAAACTAAAAATAACATTAAATAGACCACAAAAAGTACTCATTTACAGTATAAGAGCTGAACAAGAAGTCAGAGTTTCAAACTTGTCCAGTCTTGACTAGGAACAGGTGCATTGGGAAATTCAAAAATTTTGGTGGCCTGCACAGATCTACCAATGATGGTAGAATTGTTTTAGGTATTGATTCAAATAAATTTTGATTCAAATAAATTATTTTGGTTTCAAATAAATTTAACAAGTTAGTGAATCCACAAATTAGAATATGTAAATAAGGAGAATTCTCTATATAAACATTTGTAATATAAATACAAATAAACTTCTATACATGTACCTATACATATACATATAATGAATTTACATTCTAAGTTATCAATTTACTTAATTAAAATAAAGTATAAACATGTAAATACAGAATTTTGAGGTAGACAATACATGAATCAATTTTATTCAAAGCTCTTTTTTTTCACTATTGTGCTGTGCTCTTATCAATCTAATGTGTTTTCTGTTGATTTTTAGAGTAAAAAACTAAGAGGAAAATGTATGAAATTTGATACAAGAATGAATATTGGCCAAAAAAATTCTTAGAAATATTAGAAACTTCAACTTAAACAAAATTTTAAGTTCCCCAAACCCAGCTTAACATTGTATAAAATGGGAACAATTCTATTGGCCTTGATTAACTCTGATAGATATTGCTCCTTCAAAATATGACTCACAAATTACATAAAAACATTTTGTTCAATGTAAACCCTACTATATATACACAATATATTGTGACTGAGATGTAGAAAAGGATTACATGTTCTAAAAATTATCAAAACCACAATTCTATCTATGTTTTAGCTTGTGATGTTTTAGTTAAAAAAAATCTCTGTGCCCAAGAATTCTCTCTTGAAAAGCAAAAGGACTGGTCAAATTAAATTAAAATTCCATGTATGCTTATACCAAAAGTTAAAGTAGATTGACAAGTCCAGGAGGATTCTGTACTATTTTTGTCTGCTGCAATATACAAATGTATGTATTTCAGAAAGCAGAGTAGGATAGGAGAGATGTGATAGCCAGTTCAGTTATGTTTCACCAAATCTTTTATATATCTAATCTACCAATACAATATATGTAACTAGATGACACAGAAAAGGACTTGGGCACTTTTACTCAATTGTAGGTAAAAACATATGAATAACCTCAACAGAGTCAACTTGTGATAAATTATAACATGTAAAGTCTGTTTGTGTCATATACAGTAAACACATCCATCTAATATATGAAAAAATAAAATTGTGCTCCAAACATATTTCAAAAAACACAAATTTTACTACAAATTTAACAATAGCTAAGCAAGTACTCACTGACACACCCCCGAGCTTAATTCACCATAGTTAACATTGCATTTAATTTCAAAACAAGAAAATAAGATCAGTAACTCTCTCCCTGGCTTTGGAATACTAAATTTAAAAAATGATCTTAAATATGTCTTTGACCTATAAAATATATGTGAATTTATTATTACTGCTATGATCAATCATAGTCTTTCATCTTGCGACTGTAACCTTCCCTTACTGAAAACACATTTAGTTTTGTTTGGTGAACCATCTCAGGATCCTGCTACGGATTTGTTGGGTCTTGACACTGTAGATGATAGGGTTCATCAAAGGTGGGAAAAGGATATAGATGTTGCCCATGAGGACATGGACCACAGGTGAGAGATGCTTCCCAAAGCGGTGCACCATGGTCAGGCCAATGATCGGGACATAGAAAACCAAGACTGCAGAGATGTGGGAGACACAGGTCTGCAAGGACTTGATTCGCTCCTCCCGAGATGCAATGGTCAAAACTGAGTGCAAGATCAAGATGTAGGAGATGAGAATGAGCACTGAATCCAGTAACAATTCACAGATCACCAGGGCTAAGGCATAGAAGCTGTTGAAGCGGATGTCGGAGCAGGCCAGCCGGAGCAGATCCTGGTGCAGGCAGAAAGAGTGGGAGAGGATGTGGGGGCGGCAGTAATGGAAGAACTTCAGGCGGATGATGGGAGCAAGAATCAACAGAAAACTCCTCCCTAGAATAACCGCACCAATGCTGATGATTCTGGTATTGGTGAGGATGGAAGTATATCTCAGAGGATTGCAGATGGCAGTAAAGCGATCAAAGGCCATGGCGAGAAGTACTCCAGACTCCATGGCCGAGAGACCATGAATAAAGAAGGTTTGAGCAATGCAAGCTTCCAGACCAATCTCCTGGCTCAGCCCCCACAGGGTGCCCAGCACCGTGTGTACTGTGGACAGCCCCATGCACAGGTCCGTGAGGGCCAGCATGGCCAGAAAGTAGAACATGGGCTGATGCAGGCTCGGCTCCATGCGGATCACATGCAGCACCAGACAGTTGCCAGAGAGTATCATAGCATAGACACAAGAGAAGGGGATGGAGAGCCAGGGGTATTCCTTTTCAAATCCAGGGAAACCCATAAGGAGAAAGGTGGAATTACTGATTTTGGAATGAAGTTGAGCAGGCATCAGTCTATACAGACAGAAACCTCTCAAGGTAAAATGTTCGTAACAGCTGATTTTCAAATGTACTCTCCACTGCTTAAATAGCCTAAAGTGAAAGCTGTAACAAGAATGACTGGATTAATAGCTCAATAGAAGTAACACCAGTGCTTTGTTTTTTTTCAGAAGTTGAATTCGTTCTTAAAAAAGAAGATAAATTGCTTTATGCCTACATATAAAACCTTCTTGCATTAGATTGTTGGTCCCATAAGAGAAATCAGTGTCCATATTCCTACCATTACCATCACTTTCTTACTTAATGTTGCATATCACAGATAGTAGAGAAACATGATTTCTGGCATATAAATACACAATAGTGAAGTTTAAGCATATAAAGTAGAAAAGAAAAACACATTTGGGTTCTGAAGCTTGGTGAAATTACTTGTAACACACTCCTCTGGCATATAAGATTACCTCTGCTTATTACATAAAAAATCCTATATAGAAGGTGCCACAAGGGGTTAAGACGCAATCTATGAAGCTGTCTGCAGCCACTGCAGCATGAGTTTGATCCCCTGACAGGGAACTACCCACATGGGCAGCAGATCTCTCCTGACTCGCCTTCTGCTCCCCTCAGCAGTATTTCAGTCAGCCTGCCTGTTCTGCTCCCCACTCAGTCTCTGGTGAATCCTCTTACTCCCCCAAACCTCTGGCCTGTACCCCTGTTCTTGTATGCACAAATAAATAAATCTTTAAAAAAATCCTGTATAGAAGTCTCACATATCAGTCACAGTCATTCTGACACTCAGTGCATCAGTATCTTCAAAAATGACTCTCACTCACATCAGAGCTGTCCTTGGCAGTCTTGAAAATAGATTTTGTTCTTCTTTTATCACAGCCGTACTGAGAGTCCAGGAGAGGCAAAATTTATACAGGTGCAAGAGCTACAGGAATCACTGGAGATTGAGGGATGCTGGATTCTGGGAGATGCTGAGAGTGTGTGATGCAACACTGAGGCCCCTTTGGGAGAATGAGGGAAAACTTACAGGTAGTATCTTTATAGCTAACTCTCCACTCCATCAAATTTTGTATATGCTACAAGAACAAGTTTAGAGTAGTAATTCCTTTATCCATGCAGAATTGAAATGAGCATTGGACTCATAGTTCCCTTCCTTCCCAATACAAGGGCAGGTGTATCTTATAAATACAGGTCTGATATTTGTATTACTCAAATCTTCTCAAATCAAATGTTCTTAAATTTGCTTGGCCAGAGTCTTTGATTACCTTTGCAAACCAGAACTTGTGTTCCCAAAAGAAATAAAAACAAGGTATTGGAGATACAGCCTACATAAAACATGATAACAATAAAGATTATTGTCATCATTAACATAAACTCTTATTTATATCCCTTCATTTTGGCTACAAGTTATCCTTGCACTTTTTGAGCCCAAAGCTTAAGTATTCAAAAGAGTGGTAAATGTAAACCATGGTTTACAAAATCCAGAAATATAGTTTTGCATAAGCTTTATAAACCTTATAAACATGTTGAAAATAGAACCTCTATTTTTATAACAATACTATTATTGAACATTTCAGCATTTATGGTGTGCTAAGAGTCAGCATTAATACCCAGGATAAATTTATATTATCTAATTTTAATTTTTAGAATTGTTTGAAATCATGCCTTTTATTTTAATAGGCAATAGAGCATAGCGATAAAATGTGTTTGAAAAGCCAGACTTTGTGGGTTAGAAATGGTTCTCCAACACCTTTGAGTACTTGGGCAAGATTTTTACCTCATATTGGCACCATGACTACACCAGACTTTCCTGTATATTTGGTGGCATCCCAGGAGGCCACAGTGTGGAGTGACAAGATCACCCCTTGTGTGTCATCCTGTGAGAAAAGCAAGTTCTCCAGGAGGAGAGTCTGCACCTGTCAAACATCCCCTTAACCACAGTTACCAGGATGACATTTTGATGCCTCAGAAGATCCCAAAGTAGAGAAAGAATCACTAACATAATTTCCAAATGATGTTAATCCTGTCAACATAGAAAAAAGTGGACCAGAGGTGCAAAACTTACTGGATATGGAGGTTGGGAACGAAAAGGATGCTGTATTGGTTTTTAAGCCACATATACTTTCACCCCATTACATAATTCATGACAGTTTTCAAATATGTAGTTAAAATCTGATGGTATGAAAACATTAATGGCTTTGGGCCTCCCCTGGTGGCGCAGCGGTTGAGCGCTGGGTTGTGAAGCTGCCCGCAGCCTCTGCGGCGCCGGTTCATTCCCCGGCCACTGGTGAGGGTCCCACCAAAAAAAAAAAAAAAACATTAATGGCTTTGTCAAATGTTATTAAAAAAATCTGAAGACTTCCACAAGATGATATAGTGGCCAAGGAAATGCAGGCCTTAGGTCACCTGCGAGAGAAACTAAAATCCTAGCTGCTGCCAGTGGGAGCCTCCCCTGAGCTCCTCGCCCGCTCTGGCTCTGAGAGTGAGGGGGTCACGCTGACGCAAGGACTCCCCATTACCCTACTCAGAATTTTCTTAACACAGTGCTGTTGTCTGAGACTCATCCTACCCAATTCTTTGCTTCCCTCTACACTTCACATGTGTCAGATTTTTCCTTCTTCTTCCCTTTATGATTCACTAATTTCAAGTCCTCTTTTCCTACATTTAACCCCAACCCCACCTTAACATCAGTTTCTCAGAGAACCCGGACTCACATGAATAATTTTAAAAGAGCAACTTATAGGCAGGTTTTCATAAAATGGCACTCAGTTTGTGGCTTTTTTTTCTAATCATAATTTAAACATTGATTTTACATTGCTTGAGGATTTGGGGGAAATTATAGATTGAGTTTTTATATTTATGATGCATCATGGAACAAGGTATGTATGTGTTTTTGTGGAATTGAATTTTGCCCAGCATTTTTTTTTTTACTTTATGTCTGTTGCTGTGAACTACTACGATTCAAAATATAATATTAACTTCCAGGTTTTACCTAGTGCAGCACTATTTACCTGCTGAGGGGACCAGCGGGCAAGTCCCCTGGGGAACCTGCTGGTCCCCTCAGCAGGTAAAACCTGAAAACAACCCAAATGCCCAAAAATAGATGACTGGATCAAGAAGATGTGGCATATACACACGATGGAATATTATTCAGCAATCAAAAAGATAAACTCATGCCATTCACAGCAACGTGGAAGAAACTAGAAGGAATTATGCTCAGTGAAATAAGCCAGAAGGAAAAAGAAAACTATCGGATGGTTTCACTTATAGCAGGAATATAGGGGAACCCAATAAGACATCAGTGTAAAAAAATAATAACAGTATAAAACACAACAAAGCAAAAACAGACCATTATAAATCAGAGACATCCTGCAGGGGAGGAGGAGGGAGAGGGATCAGAGGGAGGGAGGGAGGAGCACAGGGGACTGAGGTGATGGTGCACAGGTGCATTGGCGAAGGAAACTCTATGGGGACTAGACCTGAGGGGGTGGGGAGAAGCAAATATTGTCTCAAAATTAACAACGATGTAAAAAATAAAAAAAAATATTACCTATTATTAAACTTCTAAGAACAAGCCTTAAAGTATATTCTGTTAGTAAGCAACAAATATTCATTGCATTAATAGAATCATTTATAGTGAGCAAACTTTATAATAGAAATTATTAATGATATAACAGCAATTTTAGTGATAGTTTCAACATAGAGCAGTAATTTTTAAAAGTACAAGATTAGAACAGCCATAAGCTTTCAGTTTATTAATACTGACTGATCAATTAGGAAGGAAAATAAAATGAAGAATGCCTGGTGAATGAAATAAAAATACATATTCTCTAATAGAAAACTGGAGTTTAGAAACCACCAGTTTACAAGACAACAGTGGGCAAAATGGTCTTCAACACAGCAATATACCCAAACTCTTTACTAAAGTGGGAAGTAGAAGTTAAAAAGTCACTGAAATACAACTTAACCCCCATATTAGATGAGGTAAAATAGAAAATTCAAAATGGCAGAAATTTGGGCTTCCCTGGTGGTGCAGGGGATTAAGACGCAAACTATGAAGCTGTCTGCAGCCTCTGCAGCGCAAGTTCAGCAGACCCCTCCTGACTCGCCCACTGCTCCCTCAGCAGTGTAGTTCAGTAGATCTGACTGTTCTGTTCCCCGCTCTGTCTCTGGTGAATCCTCTCACCCGCCGCAACTCTGGCCTATACCCCAGCTCTTGTATGCATAAATAAATAAATCTTTAAAAAAAATTAAAAATGGCAGGAATTTGAAAATTAAAGTAACATAATTGCTCTTTGCAAGGGTAGAGGGACAACACACATGTTCAGCCACAGTGGAGAGCAGTTCAGACTTTTTAACTCTGAGGGACTGAATAGACAAGAGCCTGAAAAAGGATGTGAGCAAATATTCACAGGAAGAAAAAAATGAATTGATTGGATATGTGAACATTGTATCTTAGTAAGACCTGCCAAGATCTTACAGGAGAAAAAAGATAGAGAACAGAGATGAGTGGACAACCTATACTATCTTTACACTTTCATATACCTTAATATTTTTTCTGAAGCATAAGTAATAATTCAGTGATAGTCACTATAGAATTAAGGTGAGCAATGTCCTTATCTTTTCTGATAGTTTGCCCACGTTAAATTGGTTTACTCACCACACAGATTTCTTTAGTGAAAGACATATTTGACTGTTATCTTACTTGACTTAATATCATGAGGCAGTCCCTAAAGACTGTGTTCTCTAAGAGAGTACTATCTACATACAAACTCAGCGGTGTTTACAGAGTTAATGTAACTGTTCCAGAGGGACATTTGTTACTGCTTCTCGCTAATCCTGGTCCAGAACTCTTTTCCCTTTGATGTTATGTCCCCTGAGTGTACCAGTAGCCTTCCAAAAGAGGGGTCTCCTGAGCAATGAAATAGCTCATAACAAAGCAGCCAAAACTACCAATTTAAACTTGGAGTCCTCACTGCCTAAATGACAACCACTGACATATATTTAA